TCAAAACCATGGGCTATAGTCCATGCTTTTTACCCAAAAATAGCTGAAAATTACCTATTTTGCATTCTTCATAGATAATTTATGTTTTTTGAAAATGTGTGAAAATGGCCCAAAATCGATCAACACCATGGGCTATAGTCCATGCTTTTTGCCCGAAAATGGCCAAAAATGAGGTATTTTGTCTTCCCCATAAATAATGAATATTTTTCAAACAGGTGTGAAAATGGCCCAAAATCCATCAAAACCATGGGTTATAGTCCATGCTTTTTGCACAAAAATAGCTGAAAATCACCTATTTGTCATTCTTCATAGATAATTTATATTTTTTGAAAAGGTGTGAAAATGGCCCAAAATCCATCAAAACCATGGGCTATAGTCCACGCTTTTTGCCCGAAAATGGCCAGAAATGAGGTATTTTGTGTACCTCATAAATAATGCATATTTTTTGAAAAAGTGTGAAAATGGCCCAAAATCGATCAAAACCATGGGCTATTGTCCATGCTTTTTGCCCGAAAATGGCCAAAAATGAAGTATTTCGTCTTCCTCATGAATAATGCATATTTTTTGAAAAGGTGTGAAAATGGCACAAAATCGATCAACACCATGGGCTATAGTCCATGCTTTTTGCCCGAAAATGGCCAAAATTGAGGTATTTTGTCTTCCACATAAATAATGAATATTTTTCAAACAAGTGTGAAAATGGCCCAAAATCCATCAAAACCATGGGTTATAGTCCATGCTTTTTGCACAAAAATAGCTGAAAATCACCTATTTGGCATTCTTCATAGATAATTTATATTTTTTGAAAAGGTGTGAAAATGGCCCAAAATCGATCAAAACCATGGGCTATAGTCCATGCGTTTTGCTCGAAAATGGTCAAAAATAATGTATTTTGTCTACCTCATACATAATGCATATTTTTTGAAAAGGTGTGAAAATGGCCCAAAATCCATCAAAACCATGGGCCATAGTCCACGCTTTTTGCCTGAAACTGGCCAAAAATGAGATATTTTGTCTACCTCATAAATAATGCATATTTTTTTGTAAACGTGTGAAAATGGCCCAAAATCGATCAAAACCATGGGCTATAGTCCATGCTTTTT